GAAGCTGAAGGTGAAGGGGGTGTGGGATGAGTGTAAGGAGCCTAGGGAATTGCTCAGGGCAAAGAAACACAGACCAGGATGCCATGTGGTCCCTGTCTCTACCTTTCAGGATCAGGAGGAAGCCCCAGTGGGGCGATGGGAACCCCCAGGGTCCCAGCAGGGGGTGGTGTTGAGAACCACGGTGGTGGGAGCACCTAATGAAGCCACCAAGTTCTCCTCCGGACAAAAAAAAAAGCCACCAAGGGGCGGCAGCTACCTTGGCCCATCCAAAGTGTCCAGTCAGAGCAGTTTCCTGATGGTCCATGCATGGCCCCCCCTCTACCCCTGCCCATGCATATGGCAATCCTTTCCCCTCCCCAGAAGCCGCATCAACAGTTATTTGAGCTCAAGCCAGTCCCATTCATTCTCTGCTTTCTTCCAACACCAGCTGTGCCCGGCGTGTGCCAGTGGACGTGGCCTCCCTGAAATGACCTGCCACCCCCTTCCAGCCCTACATAGCGGCACGCTGGGCAAGGAGCGGGTGGCTCGGCATGTCTGCACTCTCCCCACAGCGCGGCCTGGGATCTGGCTGCTGTCAGAGGCATTTCCAAGGGGATGTAGGTCAGGGAAGAGCCGTATTTAGTACCAGCCTCATGCTCTGGTCCCACTTGAGCGCTGAATCTCCCCTCACAGGATACCAGCCACGTGGGGGTTGCACCTACCATCCGGGGAGACACTCTGTCCCTGGGGTTTTACACAGAGCTCAGGTCAGCATCTTGCCTTGAAGGGAGGGACATAAATTAGCAGAGCCCCAGTGAAGAGAAACACGTGTGCCGTGGCTGCCAAAAATGGGTCCCGCACATTCTCTTTCCAAAGAGGCAAGCACCAGCGACTTCACAGCGGCATCTCCCAGCCTGACTGCACATGTGCCAAAACCTGCAGAGAGAGCTCAGATCCACCCCCTGCCTACCCACAGCTCGGCTGCGCACACACAGACCCCATGCGCACAGGCATACCCCGACGTACATGCACGTGCCATGAGTCTGCCATGCACACTCATACTCTGCATCCACCCTTGTCCAATCTCTCTCACTCACCCACACACAGACACACACCGCGTTTGCATACCGTCCTCATATACACACGGGCCCTCACATCCCATATACGCAAATATTCACAGCTGGCCACCTACCCATCCCCAGATTAACTCTCCCTCCACGCCGCAGGTGCTTGCTCTGCGTGCACCCATAGCCCTCCATCTGGAATCGCGTCCCAGATGCACGCTGCATCTCTCGCGGGCGAGCTTTGCCCAGAAGTGCAGTGGTCGCTTGTGGCTTTGACAGGAAGGTCAGGGCTGCTCTGCAGAGGGAAGTGCGTGGCCAGAGGCCATTCTGCAGCTCTGTGTGCTGCCCAGCCTCCCTCCAGGACGCAGAGGGTACGAGCACGCTGCAAACACAGCCGTGAGGCTCAGAGACCGGGTCTACAGACCTGGGCTCATGCTATGGCACTTAAAATAGTCAACGTTCCTGCTCGGGGGACCGGCGAGGGGGTGGGTCACAGAGCCTGAGCAGGAACGTCTGCATGGCTAGTTTTCACGCCGTAGTGCAAGCCCCAGGAGCCGGCGTCTGTTGACCCGGCCTCTGAGACTCGCTGCTGTGGGGGTTTTGTTGCTGTCCCACATACCCAGAGACCTGGGCAGCTTGGACAAGTGACTGCGCAGGAGGAGTCCCTGTGCTGGTACGGTCCTGATCCGTGATTAGGGCCCCTCGGCACTGCAGCTGTACAAATAACGAAGAAGAAGAATGCTGCCCCGGTGGTTTGATTTCCCTGCTTGTCACGCTCCAGTGCGTTCTCCGCTCAGGCTCCCACCAGCGGCATCGGATGTGGTAGCTGTGCGCCGGTCGGTCTCGATCCAAAAGCAGCATTAGAGGTGGAAGAGCGGGGAGCGAGGGGCGGGGGTGGGAGTTGGCCTCTCGCCTTTGCCAGTGTGGGTTTGAAGCCAAGCTCGGGCGGGCAATCCAGTGCCGATGGCAGTGCCTGCCCAAGAGGGGTGCACGCTCCAAGTAGAACCAAGCGAGGACTGAGGACGGCTGAGAAATGCTCCTGCGAAAGGGGTAGGAACACCATGGCGACGGGGGCTTCAGGTCAGGGTTGAGGGACAGCAACAGAGTTGAATATGGGGAGCCCCGGGCTGGAATAAGAGCCGTGCTGCAGATCAGGGTGGAGGGATGTTGGCAGAGCTGTGTGTAGGGTACCCAGAGCTGGGCTAGTGTGTGTGGGGGGGAGGAGAGGTCTGGAAGATCTCTGTATGTGGGTATAAAATTTTCTCTTTAATGCCCCTTCAGCCATACCCCTACTTCCCATATTATGCTAATGGACCCTTTGCGTTTCTATGTGTAGCTGGATTTTGAGCTGTTTTGGAAGGTTCCCAGGAACAGGGAGACCCGCGTTCCTGAGCACCCAGATCTGAGTACGTCTCATGGCATTACAACTCCGGGCTTCCACCTAACTGAGCATGTTAGGATGTAGGAGACTGCCATTACCCCTTCCCCTCAGGGCTCCCCCTGGCCCCGGCCCGGCCCTGGGGGATTCCACTGCTCTCTCCACACGCATTCGCTCCAGCACTCCTGCTCAGCTTCTGGCGTCAGCCTGCCTTCTCTCGGACACGGGTGGGAGTGTGATGCCTGGCCCAGCTGGCTGAGGAGGGTCCCACGACAGACCATCAGCTCCCATCAGCTGTCACACAGCAGGACGGTCCCACCCACTCAGTCTCTGAGTGTCTCCTGAGGAACTCTACTGCCCGGGTCTCTTGAGGTCCCTCGGGTAACTGTCAAACACAGAGGCACCCAGTGCACTTGTGTTGTCCATCTCTTTAGACCGTAAGATCCTCCAGGCAGCGTCCATGCCTTGCTTTATGTTCTGCACAGTCACAATCCTCACCCACACTCCCTGCGTCCAGGTCCTGGTTTTCAAAACAATGCAAAAATGTCCACACAGCCACGTCCCCAGCTTTGCACACACAGTTATCATGACTGTATGCGCAAATTGCCCACACGGCATAATCGGCCAGCTGTGGACCCTGGGCTCCCTGAGGTCCCTAATTCCATATGAGTCCACCTGGCAGGATGCCACAGGCCCTGGAAGCCTTGGGGTTCCCGGCTCTGAGTCAGACCACATGGGGAGACTGGAAACCCAGTCTGTTGAGGAGCTGTGACCGTGGGAGCTGAGACTCCCAACTCCGTGTCAGCCCACCAGGCAGGGTGCCAAGGAGCCGGGCGGGTGAGCTGGCAGGAAACCAGGCAAGTTTCCAGTGGAAACCTTCCTGGCAGGCAGGATTCAAACGCTGCCTGGCTTCCATTGAACCTTTGCTGAAACTGAGCCGTATCCACAAAATGCTTGAATGTTGAACCAGCAAGCTCCACAGAAAGCATGTCCCATCCGAATTTTTCCAACCAGCTTTACCACATGGAAACTGACTGCCTGTGAATCTGACTGCCTGTGAGTCTGACTGCCTGTGAATGAATGTTCCTCGTGCGTAATCATCATCTTCCCTGTCCTAATGCCTGGGCTTTCTCCCTTGTTCATAACCGCCCTGTACCACCAGCAACAATCACCCGTCCCCTCTCTTGCAGTGTTGCCTCGGCAGTATTTGTCCCACCCTGAAGCCATGGGCGTTACATCTCCCTCCCTCCCAGACACAGGGACCAACGACAGAGAGACTAGAGATTTAGCCTCCCCAGCCCAGAGGACGAGCAGATGGGTACTGCGGAATAGGCCTCTCTAGGCAACTCCACTAAAATCATATAATTCGATGGCCTGACTTTGGACGCCGGTGTCAATGGATTCCCACTGCCCATCGTGAGGCCATTCTTGTCACTGTTGTCTGTGCCTGGTGAGAGACAAATGACCTGGTAGAAGCCTCTAACTCCCAATCCCCGTCACTCGGTCTGGCTGCCCGGTAGCACCCGTCCCCCAGCCAAGGAGTACCAGGCCGTAGAACGGGTTGGCGCCGTTGCTGGGGCACAGGCAGCTGCTCATAACAAGCTATCGCTTAGCTCGTAGTATCGGGGCGAGGGCACAGGCTGGATGGGGGTGTCAGGACATAGGGTGACCAGATGTCCCGATTTGATAGGGACAGTCCCGATTTGGGGGTCTTTTTCTTATATAAGCTCCTATTACCCCCCCACCCCCATCCCGATTTTTCACACTTGCTGACTGATCACCCTATCAGGACACCTGGGGTTGTTTCTCAGCTCTGCCCCAGACTCCCTGTGCAACAGTGGGCTTGTCCCTTCATCACTCTGCACCTCCTGCCTTGTGTAAAATGGGGACGATGGCTTTGCCCCCCCACCCCCCGGGAAGGTCACTGAGATCTGCAGAGGAAAAGCCCGAATGATTGTCATTGTTAAAGCAGGTTGCAAACAAAGGGAACTCCTTTACCTGCCTTGCCCAGCTCAGCGGTAGGGAGGGACCCTTGTCCTGCTGAAGCTACCAGCCCAAGGTCCCCCAGGAGGCTGATAGCACTGGAATGGACAGGGCTTGGATGCCAGGTCAGTGTCCAGCCCGCTAAGCCGAGCCGCGCGACCTCTCCGTGCCTTTGTAAGCTCTGCCATGGAAAGTGGGGCTAACGAGGATAGGGCTTTGCACTGAGCGGGGACTCCAAGCAGCTTACCGGGGTGAGCAGGCCCGTGTCAGTGTAGGTGAGGAAGGCCAGTGTGGTGTAGGTGAGGAAGCTGAGGCATCAAGAAGGATTTAAAGGATGTGCCCAGAGCTGTACAGTGAGTCAGTGTCAGAGCTGTGACTAGAACCCGCGCAGGCCTGGCTCCGGGGCTGTGCTCATGTCATGCTGCCTTTCCTGCCTCCTTCTGGGGGGTGATTTAATGCTCAGACTTTCTTCCAGGGTAGCTCCGGGGTCTCTCTCTCTCTCTCTCTCAGCTGCCCCACCGTTTCCACACCCCCCGAGTGTGGCTTGCTTAGACGCGCTTAGAGCTCACCTCGGGATTCTTCTTCTGTCTCCTCAGACATGCAGGTCCAGTACGAGCGGCTGGGCGCAGATGTGACCATGCAGTGCGGGGCGATGGACTGGGATGCGGCCGTGACCTGGTCGGCCAACGGCACCGACATGGATGAGTCCCACCTCAACGGGTCGCGCCTGGTGCTGCGCAATGTTGACCTCACACGCACTGGCCAGTACGCCTGCTACGAAGGCTCCTCGTGGCACCTCAAATACCAGACCTACCTGAAAGTGGGAAGTGAGTACGCCTTAGCGCGAGGTCCGGACCCCTCCTTGGGGATAGACCGTGAGAGCTGCACCGTACCCCGATAACACAACCCAGCACTGGGCATCTCCTCCCCACGTCTGGCAGCAGCCTGGCCCCCCATCGTATGTTAACTGCTGCTTGGCTCTCTAGGCGCAAGGGGATGCTCCCCCATCCACGCTCAGGGGATGGTGCAGCCCAAAGGAATAAGGGACTCATGTCCGCTGTTGTGACTCGAGGGAAGGGAGAGATTCTCCCAGCAATCAGCAAAGCATGCTTAGCTCTAAGGGGCAATTCTGGCTGCGCCGCGGTGCGGCCGTCTCAGATGAGTGGCTGGAGCGAGGCATTAATGACTGTAGTTCCTGCATGGGAGACTATGGGCGTGTGTTTGGACACGACAGTCACTAGAATTCACAGGACTCAGAGCGTAGAGGTGATGGCAACTGTGTATTTCACAGGACGGGATGTGTGTGTAGGTGACAATATCGGCCAAGATTCCTGGGCTCGGGCCATCCAGCCCGGTGTGTCGTGGGTCTTTTCTCTAAACACTTGTTTCACCTTACTGGGTCCATCCAAGGGGCCAGCGGGGCATTTCTGATTAGGAGTGATAAATGATCTGACATGAAAGGCGCCTGCAGCCTAACTCACCAGCCGTGAGTGGTGAACGTCAATCCTGGAGCAGCCGTGTACCGGGATGGCTCGCCCCTTACGGGCCAGAGGGCTGGGTCTAGCCCTAAAATATCACAAAATGAGGCACCTTTGGGTTCAATCAGGTAGTTCCCTAAAAGGGCAGCAGGTGGCTGCAGTGAAGGGGAAAGCCCAGGAAGCTGTAGCAGAGTCCGCAGACAGTGAGGAAAGGCTCTTGCAGGGAAGACCCTGAGAGTTGCTCCAGGCCAGGAGGCTTGGGAAGGGGAAGAAAACCCTTGGGTTCTGTGGACTTACAAATGGACTGTTTGGGGGGGGCTGCTGGGGGGGGTTGAGTTTTATTAGCAGTTTCTTTTATATTAATAAACCCAGTCCCCAAGGAGGGATGTTTTTGCCCAAGAAAAAGCCTGCCGGGAAGTTTTATTTGCACAGTCCCAGAGGGGAAACTGAGGCAGGCTGCCTGGAGCGTGACCCTTGGTGACGATGGGGCACGTCGGAAGCAGCCAGCCCAGTCACATGCCACCTGTGAAGTTTAACGCTGTGGCGGGATGATGCTATATTAATCTACACACACACACACACCCGCACACATACAAAACAGACATTATTCAGATTGTAAATTGAGGAACACGCAAGTCAGGAAATGCCAGAATTCAGGTGTAACCTTAACTTTTCCCCCTCCTATGTATGCCTTAGGATCTGATCATTGACTCTTTCCTCCATGGATGTAGGACGCTCAGTAGCTAGGAGGGGCTGATGTCCAGGGGAGAGGTGGAAGGGCTAGATGAGCAGATCAGATGAGAATCCTTGGTGTGTGTGATGAGCAGGGACAAGGACAGGCTGTGGACCAAGGGCGGGAGGCCACGACGGATCTGTTCTTGTAGGATGTCAGCAAGATGTTGTCCGGAGAGGGTGGGACCAGACCCAGCTGAGTACAACGAGGGGATCAAAGGCAGCAAATAAACCCTGGGGCTTTGGGCCTGCGAACCAGGGAGGCCAGAGGCATGTGGTTGCCGGCAAAGAGCATGGCAGACAGAATGAGGAGAGAGCCACTTGTTGTGGGTGAAGGCCCCCCCCCCCGCCCCCGCAGCACCTTATCAAGAGTTGCCGGGTAACGGGGCAGCAAGAGGGTGGTTTTCTGGAGTCATCCAGGAGTGCGGGGAGTTAGGGAAAAGGAGGGGAAATCTACAGATGAGTCAGCAGATGGGGAGGAGGGGGCGGGAGGCGGCAGAGAAGCTGTGGAGGGGCTGGATGGTGGGTTGATGAGGCCATGTGGCAATGGAGAGGCCAGAGTGGGTGCATCATTTACCGGCAACCCTGTCGAGTAAGTGACTCTCGTTCAGGCTGGACTCACCCCTGGGGCCCGTTCTGTGAGGCTCCCAAAGCGCAGAGCGCCCGCCCCCCCCCCCCCCACCAATTCAGAGCCTCTCTGGCTCCAGGGTGACTTTGGAGGGCATGACACCCTCCATGACTCTGCTGAACGACTCTGCTGAACGTGGCACCGTGGCACTGTGTCGCCCTGTGCCTGCCAGGGGGTTCTTCCCCCCAGCGGGGCTAAACCCGGGAGAGGCCCTGACGCCCACCAGAAATCCTTCCTGTTGGAAACCGGATGGGAGCAGCTGAGCTGGGCTGCACGTCAGGCTGCCATGCAGCTCTGCACGCAGGGAAGGGGAAGCTGGAGCCCAGATCTGGGCTGGAGAGAAGGAGGGGGCCTGGCTCAGCTTCTCGCCTCCGAAGGCTCCTTTCCAGCTGTGGCATAGCCCTGACTTTGCAATGGCTTTTACATCTGCTCAGCACCTCACTAATAATAATCCCCGTCAATCCCCCCAGGGGCCCGTGGGAATGGGTCAGCTTTAGCGCCGATATCCTGCTGGTTTCACTCGCTCCCAGCTTTCCCTGGGCTGTGGCAGGCTGGGGAGAGCTCGGACAGTGCCGGGGCTGCGAGCCCAGCAGAGAGAGCCGGAGATAAAGAAATAAGCGAATGCCCGATGTTGCTAATGTAATTAAATATGCAAGGAACTAATCAGGTGAGATGCTTTTTCTGGTAATTAATTTAATTGCCTGGATTTTAACTGAAAGCTCTCTGCAAGTTCTTCCTTCCCTTTCCCCCCTCCCCCATCACCCCTACCCCACTCACTTGCCTCTTCCTCTCGCGGAATTAATAACCTCAGTGCAGAGACATGCTACTGCAGAGGGGCATGTCCCTGAGTGGACAAGGACCCCCTCCTTTCACCCAGCGTGAAAACAAGAGCCGCGCCGAGCTCAGAGCAGCTTCCCAGCCTGGGTTTTGCAGGCCCAGCTGGGCCTTGTAGAGGTGCCCCCAGCCCTGCCTGAAATCCCAGCGTAGCTCAGCATTGGGGTTCACCCTACGGAGGTTGGACTCAGAATTGGAGCCCTTGCTCAAGAGTTGGCTCACAGCTTGGTGCTGGCCTCTTCCCCACCCTGGGCAGGGCAGGGTTCAAAGGGAGAGTGCAAATGGTCACAAGGCCAGTCCGCCCCATCATCCAAAAGCGTCCCCGGCTTCTGGGTTTGAGCCACTGCAAAGGGATTTCCCATTCCGGGGACAGGCACAATTATCCACCTCTTCAGTATCCTCTCATGTCGTTGGCTGGCCATTCAAAAAAGAGCCGCTCAGGAACAGGTCCGTGCCCACTGATCCTTTAAAGCCACAGCCTCTTCTTGGAGCAGGCCACGTGGAGCCACTTTCTGTGCATAGGAAATCCTGCCCCTCAAGGGATGGTGTCATGGGCAGGTAGTCCCCGGACATCAAACGTGCAGATTTAAATCTGCCTGACTTGTGTGACTGCAAGGCCAGGTGTGGATCAAACCAGCCACGAACTAATGGGAAGCACAGATCCTTCTGGAATTGTCCATTATGGGCTTTCTTGTTCCTCCTTCTGAAGGCCCTGGCCACTGTCCTAGATGAAGAACGGGACTGGATGGCCCCCTGGGCCAATTGTTTCAGGCTATGTCCCTCTTGCTGTTTGCCCTGGGGGTTGGGTACTTGCCAATCAGGCCGTCACTGAACTCGTGTAGTTGAAGGTCTTAGAGCACAGTGAACATAACATATTGCGCAGATATTGGAGAGCCGCTTAACCACGGGCCAGGCTGAGCCTTGGAACAGCCAAGTGCTGTCTTCGCTGGAGTGATTCCCATTTACACCCAAGAGGCTGCACGGGGCTGTGGAATCGGGACACTAGGTTCTCTTGGTGCTTCCACTGGCATCCCACTGCCTAGGGGGTTGTGCTGGGTGAGCAGGGCTAGGCGTGCTGGGAGATGGGGATGCAATGGGACTTTCCATCCAGGGAATTCTCTCCTGAAGAGCACAGCTCTGTGCGATGGATTGCGCGGGGTCAGGAAGGGGGTGGAACCGGAGCACCCGGAGGGAGCTGAGCCGTCTCAGAGCAAGGCTAGAAGACAAGCTCCCGGCTGAGCCAGAGCTCACGCTCCGAGTTAGGCAACGCAGGGCCCGAGGGCGGGGGAGTGGCTGTAACAGAGATGTTAGGAAATAATGTGCTCTTGAGGTTTGGCACATGGCTCTCTTTTTTACAGTCTGTTATAAAAATAATTTTAACAGGCCAGAGAGGAGAGGATAGTTAGAGGCAGAAGGTCGGCCAAAAGAGGAGAGTGAGGTGTCTGTGCAAATGGGACCAGGAAGGCCTCCCAGGCAACGTGGAAGGGGGGCTTGAGTTAATGGCCATGGATACCAGAAAGGGAGCTCCTAGGTCACCCATACCCTGGAGGGAACCAATTTCTCCATCCCTGGACACATCTAGCTAGCTTGGGTCTAATAATGCATCCATGAGCACGCTCCCTCAGCCCCTAGGAGCTGCTGAGCCAGAGTCAGGGTCGCCCGCCATTCATTCTAGCCAGGGCGGCTTGCGTCGGTGTCCAGGTGGGAGCGCTCTCTAAGCCAGATGCATCGGGAGTGAGAGTACAGCTAGGGCTAGATCCCAGGTCAGCTCTCCAGAGCCTGGGGGAGGAGCGGAGAGAGAAGACGGGGGAAGCTGCAGAGTGAGCGGGAGCGTGCGGGAACCAGACACGGCGTGCACCATAGCGTGGCACAGCAGCCAGCCCGGAGGAGTCCGTCGCTTTGGAAGCCTGTGACTGCTCTTTGCTAGGGGATCTGTCCAGGGGGAGGCTGCCAGCTCCGCTTGTCCCATGTGTCCCTAATTGCCTGCAGTGCAGGTGAGCGCTTGGATCCGCGTGGAATGGAATGCAGCACGTTTGACTCCGCAGAGTGCCGGAGCTGGCAGGGGGCCACCCACCAGACTTGGAGAGAAGGGCTCCGTGCTGGACTCCTTCCCCGGCTGCCTGTCACTAAATGGCTGGCGAGATGAAGGGGAAAA